AATCTCTGTAAATGTTTATGAAAATTAATAAAATATAATTATAGAAAAAAAAAAGACCTGAAGCCTTTCTATAACTATCGTCATTTCCTCCCCAAGTTTATAGAGTTTCCAGAGGCATGCTGTTTAGGAAGTGGATGCCACTTCCTGCTTCCAACCAAAGAGGCTTAGAAAAAAATATCTACTTCTGAAAGTTTGCAATCACTGAAAACCTTGCTGAATCCAGTGCTACTTTTATGTATATGGTGTTGTCAGGAGTCAGAATTGAGTCAACAGTAACTGTCTGGTCCACCTGAGCCCTTTTTCTTGAAGTGGGTAAACTCTGGATAAAGCTCTATGCTTTGAGCTGCAGAAGCCCAAGGCTGACTGAGAAATCAAGATTCTGGGTACTGACCGTGCTGTGTGAGGGAGCAGATTTTGCCTGTGTTTACAGCTCAGTAAAACATGGACTGGCTGTTTAACACCACGTTGGAAGATCAAAGGCTTCTCTATAATGGCCATTCGTCAAATCCAAATTCCCCTCAGCACGATTTAATCCTCGCCAGGGGAGTCCTCCATAACTCGACATTAAAGTCAAATTAATTTTTAAAGAGAATTGAAAGCTGTTCCGATAAGATGAATAAACACTGATGAAAGACTTTAAAGTTATGCCTAGTTAGAAACACAGAAGCCAGGGAAGCAATTGCTTTATTCAAAGCCAGAAGAAAGATGGCTTAAGTTGTAGAAATAAAAGAAGGCAATGACTCTAAGCTCAGTCTTGGATAATACATACTTGTTTAGGTTTGTTCTATACTCCCAGGGTCCTGATTTTATACATCAATGATACACTGACGTAAAAGATTCCTCCATCCACCTAGCTTTACCCCCTTCTTTTTAGAATTTGTGAAATGCATGCTCAACAGAACCAGTTAACCAGCTGCTGTCTGGTTGATTCCAACTCAGGCTGATAATACTGCCAGAGTAGAACTGTGTCAGAGGATGTGCCAGGGTAGAACTGTGCTCCAAAGGGCTTTTGGGGCTCATTCTTTCAGAATTAAAGCACCAAGCTTTTCTCTGGGGGCACTCCCAGGGTGGACCTGGACCTCCAACTTTTCAGTTAAGAGCCAAGGTCATCTGCACTTCAGGAGCCTCCAGGATATCACACAGTAATCTATACTATTTTACCTCAGTCTCCTACAAATATAGAGAAAAAAATTACAATAAATACCATAAAACTATCTGAAGCGGATAATGCCGGCATGTGAGGATTTTTTCTTCTTCTACTACTTTTGATTTAATCTTTACGCATCATCAAAATTATAGTGGTGGTAATGTTTACTGTTGAGTCAGAATCGACTCGTAACTGACCCTCCAGTGGGTTTTCAGAGACAGCAAATCACAGGCAAGGAGGGCTTGTGGATTCAGAAGGTGCACCTTTGTGTCGGCAGCACAGTTCCTTATCGCCGAGCCACCAGAGCTCCTGTAAATTAAATGGTAGTTGTTGTGTACTGTTGAGTCTTAAATGACTCACAAATGACCATCCAGTGAGTTATCAGAGGCAGGAAATCACATGTGAGAAGACTGCTCATCTTTCTCCAATGGAATTAACTGGAGGATATGAATCATGTATCTCTGTGTTGTCAGGACAGTTCCTTACCACTAATCCACCAGAGCTTCTTCATTCCCTAAATGGCAATGCTGCTGTTGTTGTGTACTGCTGAGTCAGAACCAACCCATGGCTGATTCTCCAGTGGGTTTTCAGAGGCATTTAATCGCATGGAAGGGGACTGCCCATCCTTCTCCTGCAGAAGAGCTGGCAGATTTGAACCATGCCTTCAGGATTGCAGCACAGCTTCTTGCCGTTAAGACCACCAGTTCTCCTTAAATGGTAGGGGTAGTTATTTCCATGATGATAAACAATGTTGTTAGGGAAATCTGCTGTCAGGGACCTCTGCAGAGTGCTGAAGAGCAAGAATGCCACTCTAGAGACTAAGGTGGGACTGATCCAGGCCGTGGTCTTTACAATTATTTGAAACACAGCAGAGAGCTAGACAATGACCAAGGATGATGGAAGAAGAATTGATGGCTTTGAGTTGTGGTGCTGGAGGAAGAGTATTGAGCATGCCATGGACTGCCAAGAAAACAGTCAAGTCTGTCCCTGAGAGAGTGAAACCAGGTTGTTCCTTGGAGGCAAGGATTTTGAGACACTGCCTCACATCCTTTGGGCATGTTGCCAGGATGGATCAGTCTTTGGAGAAGGATATTATGCTTCAAAGGGTCCAGGGACAGTGCAGGAAAGGATGACCCCCAGATGAGCTGGACTGACACAGTGACTGGGGTAATGAGTGTAGGTGTGCCA